AAGAGTGGGGAGGTATTGCTGTAGCTGTCTGCTTTCAAGTGGTGCTAGCATATTATGCAGAATCACCTGTAAAATATACTTGAATTTTTCTTCCTCCATCAACAAGACACGAGGAACTTGCCCCGTGGCCATGTTTGAGAAAAGACGATGCAACAAGAAAAGGAGCCATGCAAGTCTGAGCTGCTCATTTTGTTTTACTTTTACCTAAGTCCCTGCTTGAGTCATACATAAAACATCTCATACATAAAACATCAACTAAAAGATTGAGTGCTATTATGCTTTATTACCTGGTGGCTTAGACTTCTCCCAGCTCTTAGAGGGCAGATCAGCTTCAGTGGTTACTTTGAGGCTCATTGTCAGATGTTCTGTCTCTACTAGGATGCAGTAGCAAGCCAGAAGCCATCAAAAGAGAACACATTTGTAGAAGATGGCAGAGTTTTGCTCAGAGTCCTAAAGATCTGCAATGTGATTCTGTAGAGACCTGCCTAAGGCTATGTATAGCATCTACTTTGCCACAAACACTTGAAGCACTTTTGAATATCACCAGATCATAATCCCCAGTGGCAGATTAGTTTGTATGGCAGCCCAGATCTATTACAGAACATTGTTTTGCTCTAGTCCTCATTCAAAACTGATAGCCTGTTAGATTTATTATTAAATAGGTCAAAGTAGCACACCACAAGTTCAAAGAGGCCCTCATTTTAAAAGCGATATCTTAACATACCCTTAGAGCATTGGACCCCTAGATCTTTTTTTCAAAGTAGCAAATCCTTGTGTTTTAGGTGATTATTTGCCATTTCCAGCATGTATGTATCTAGTCAATGTATCAATATTTGCTAGTTTTTGCTTACCATATCTAATCAGCATGACCCTTGATATAGAGGGCCAGCATAATGTACTGTGGAATATAGAGGCAATCAGGTTCCCTGTGATTTAAATTATTACAAAGAGCTGCAAGGTTGGTACATTTTGCTGATCCTGTCAGCTGAAAGCAAAGTGGTTTCAGTACCATTTATGAAAAGGTATTACCATAAAAGAATTCACCACATGAATAGTCACATACCTGGTAATGGGGCGTGTGTTCATTGTTTCAGTAAAGGAACCACAATTGGAACAGCATCTGAAATGGGAGTTACCTTATGATTAAGTTTATGATGCTCCATTGTCATTTTCCAAGATCCAAACCTCCTGTACAACTGCTGCATCCTTTAGGTCCCGGGTTTCCTCCAAGAGTTTCTCCTCAGTTTCTCCACATTTCCTCCAAGAGTTTTAGATTCCTTTTATTACTTTGGAAGTAGAGGCAGTTCAGCTTTACCTTTCCTACAATAATAGTTCTCACTTCTCTCTCACAGGTCAGGGAACCAATATAGAATTACTGCCAGAGCTGAGGATTTTTATTCTAACTTTGCATTTTGGAATTAGAAAAATAACCACGGAATAAACCTGGGAACCCACTGGGTCTACTATGAGATGTAACTGAGCTAAAACTACATTAATCACTTCTATAAACTCTTACTTTGACTAGTGGACCATGACAGCATTTTGGGTCCCCAAAGAGTAAGTATCACTTTAGGGCCAACATCCAGTAATTCCTACAAAGTTTAATTTTACCCCCTAAAGGACAGTCATCCTAATAGTCTCAGGTCCCTTTGGAGATGAGTGAGAGGAAAATGTACAATATTAATTTCTGGAAGTGTAGCATGGTTTTTCCTTGAGGATATCAAGCCTTCATTTCATTCAAAAGGCTCTGGGTCTAGAAACTGACTCAACTCTAGAATTAGTGGAGGGGCTTTAAACTCTCTGTTGTCGTGTTTCAAGTGAGACATCTGTTCACCAGACATAAAATAGAAATTAAGAATTTATTAGGCTCCCATTTTCCAAATCTGTCTCAGACTCTTCCTTTGTACCCTAACTTTGAGCTACTCAAGAAATGAGATTCTAGGAAACTGTATTTCACACAGTTAGCCAAGTTGAAACAGCACTATCTAGGAAAAGATAGGTAAGTATACAGCTGGCGACAGTTTAATATGAAGTACACATTCACATTATGGTAGTGCAGAAGAATTTAGGATTCCGGAGGAACCAAGGAAGGATAGTCAGTGATTTATGAACCGAATTTTAGAAAGAGGTGATGGGGGTGAGAGGGGAACATTACGGGTACCGTTCCTTGTATGACTCATTTGGCAAACTGTGAGTATACCGTGGCTGGAACACGTGGTGTGTTGTTTGCTGGGTATTACAGGAGATGAGGCTGCACTTCTGGCACAGTATTAAAAATAATCTTCAGCCCAGAAATTGTACATGTGTTTTATAAAGATAATTTGGGCTTATAAATGAATTAGGCTGATAAAAATTATCCTGCATTCATCAAAATAGGGGACATATTGAGAATTTAATTGAACTTAAATATTGCCTCCATATTTTTCACTGATCAAATTGAATGAATACACTTTACTGGAGACACTATGACAGTTCAATTAACAGCTATCTTTTCCCCAAATCATAATATAAGGTCATTTAATGATCAAATGTTATTATACTAAGTATTTGGATAAATTTATTAACTATCCTTTTTTCTGTTGATTAGACACTTACTTTTTTTCTATTTTAGAGGGAGAATATCAAAACCAGATATGGGTGGTTTTGGTGGATAGTAATCAACTGTTAACCTGTGAAAGCAATACTTTCACTCTTGTCTGTATTAACCATGCAATATGGCTTCACCTTGAGTTTTAACAGAATTTACTGAGACAGGATTGTGGTGGTTAATTTTATGCGTCAATGTGGGTAAGCCATGGTAGTCTTTTTTTAATCAAACACCAGTCTATATGTCACTATGAAGGCATTTTTTAAAATGAGATTAACATTTAAATCAGAGACTTTAAATAAAATAGATTACCATCCATAAAGTGGTAGACCTCATCTAATCAGTTGCAATTCTTAAGAGAAAAAGACTGACTTTCCCCAAGGAAGAAGGAATTTTGTCTTCAGACTTAAGACTGCAGTGTCATTGCTTCCCTGGGTCTTCAGAATGTTGTTCTGCCCTGCAGATTTCATACTTGACAACCCCCACAATTATGTGAGCCAAGTCTTTAAAAATAAATCTCTCTCTATGCATATATGTACACATCCTATTGGTTTTGTTTCTCTGGAGAACACTGACTAATATAAGGATAAACTAAATATTGTTTTAAAACATCAAGTTTAAAAGCATTTTTGTGCACAAAAGAGTTGCTGCTTAATTTAAAAAGAACTCATCAAGTTGAATAAATATTTGGTAATTTATAATCAAGATTAGACTATTAGTATGTTGGGAGCAATACTGGCATAAATAATTGAATTTAAACATAATTTTCAAATTTAATTTTTACTAGCAGTTTTCAAACAATTTACCAAAGAATCAAATGGCCCTAAAGTGGATTGATTTTCTTCTATTTTACTTTTAGCGTTGAGGTTTTAGTAAGTATTAAAATAGCAAATATGTATAATGCAAAAAACCAGGTATCTTCAAATTGGACATGCAGCCTCTGAATAACAAAAAATAAGGTAGTATATTATCATAACAAAAAATAGAATTGTACAAATGCATGGTTGTTACTGGTTAAATTTTACCCCTAAAAATTTATATGTTGAAATCCTAACCCAGAGAACCTCAGAATGTAACCTTATTTGGAGATTATTCTCTTACAAAGGGTAAAATCTGGAGTCAGACACACACTCAGGGAGAACTTCATGCCAGATGAAGGCAGATATCAGGATGATGCTTCTACAAGCCAAGAAATGCCAGAGATTGTCCACAAACCACCAGAAGCTAGGAGAGAGGCATGGAGCAGATTCTTCCTCACAGCCCTCAGGGCCAACCCTGTCAACACCTCCATCTTAGAATCCTAGCTTCCTCAATCTTGGAAGCCTGGCTTCCAGAACTATGAGACAATAAGTTTCTATCTTTTAAGCCACCCAATTTGTGGTACTTTGTTACAGCAGCCCTAGTAAAGCAACTCAATGGTACTAATTGATTTTTTAAATAAACATGATAAAGAAATATCATTGTAAAAGTCCTAATTATTCAACTAATCTCAGAGCATTATTTATGAACCACTGTTTTCTGTTCATTATTTTCAAATTAATACTTAGTTATTGGGAACAAATAATAATGATAATGATAATAGCTAAGTCTTGTGGAACATTTGTTATTTGCCAGACGCTGTTTCAAGTGCTTTAAGTGTATTCACTCATAGGTAATACTGTTAGCCCCATTTTACAACAGAAGCCCAGAAACACAGGAAAGTAAGTTGCTTAATTTACATATACAGTAAGTGGTACATTTAAGGCATAAACTCAAAACAGTTTGGTTCTGAAGTTTTTTATTCTAACCACAGTGCCGTATTACCTATTGGTGACATAACTAATGAAGATTTTCCAGCCCTCCAAAAGAGCTTCCAAGAGCATCTGGGCTACTGTATTTATAACACATAGCTACATGACTCCAGGCTGTCTGCTTATAGTGCTAAATATCCACATACTCTTCCACGTGACACACACTATTTTGGGCTATTTGCTATATTTGAGATTTATTTTAACAGAAAATAATACATACCAATCCTCTGTTCTGATCTTATTTCCATTAATATTTAAGTTGATTTCTTTATTAAAGAATTGAAAACCTTTAATGATCATTTATGCATTTGAAATAAAAGTCATGTGTAATCTCAATGAATTTATTGAACTTTTTCAATAAATATCATTAACTTCATATTTTGTGAATGTTACACTGTTTGATGGCACGGAGTTCAGTAACTGCAAACACACACACACACAGAGGGAAGCTCGTGGTCTATCCATGACTATAGGCAGTTTATTTCCATCAAAGTCAGAGTATAAAATATTATTTATTTCATGAACTCTGGAGAGCTTATTATAAATGCTTCAGTTAAGATGCTGGAAGATGTAAACTATTACTGTCATTAAAGGGGTTTCTACTGAGGAATAATGTTTGTTCTCTCATCTTGTTACACAGTTGAGTAACCTGGCTGAGATGCCCTCTACAGTTCCATGGCTCTCCTCATGTTGAGCAGGGCTCTCTATGCTTCAGAGGCTCTGGGTCTCCTGGGACATGATCCTACCATTTCCTGAAGTCTGGGCACCTTACCCCTTTCTGCAGTGTGCATACAATTCCCAAGCCTCAGTGGTAAGCCATTTTCAGTTACCCATCTCATTTCTCCATGATGCCAGTTCCTTGGTGCTTAGAGGCAGATTTTCAAATTTCTAAAGAAAAAGTCTAAAGAGATCAAACTGTTACATATTTAATACTGAGAAGATATATATGGAAGGGCACCTCATAACACATTTGTATAAGGAATATAAGCTGTCTCCAACATCATAGAACTGAAGATACTGGTAATTATAAGGGGTTAAATTTTAAATGTTAATTAATCATAGATTTAAGGTCTAGATTTTCTATACAGGTTTTATCTTTTAAACTTTTATATACTACATGTATTACTCTGAAGTGCATGAAATTCAATTTTGTACCAAGGAAATCTGTCATCTGTTTATCTATCTACGTCTCTTTTTTCTTTTTTGTTACATCTCAGGGAAGGAAAAAAACATTTTAATAAAATTTTCAGATATTATCATATCAGTTAAAATGTTTTTGGCTGTAGATGACTCAAAATTGCTTAAACGGTAAGAGTCTCATTATTATTTTACATATCTGGAAGTTCACAATGTCACTTAATTTATTTGCTCAGGAAAAAGTACCCTTAGTTCTTTCCATTTTGCACTCTGCCACCCCAAGCTTGGTCCTTGGGCTAGTTCCCTGAATCGGCACAAAATGGCTATGTGATTTCAGATATCGCAATCCATTAAATCTAGGGAAGCCCTTTCTTCCATGGGTCTCTTTTTTTATGAAGAAACCTTTCCCAGAACCCCCCAGCAGACCATCGCACACTGTCCTTGGCCAGCAGAATCATAAGCTCACCCTTAAACACATCACTGCCAAAGGAATGGGATCCTTGTAGTTCACTTAAATCTAAATTTACCCCAGAGCCATGTGAGGGAGGGGTAGATACCTGAAAAACTGGGGATTGACCTGCCCCACAGGAAAAACAGGATAATGCATTCTGAGTAGGCTACTTATGATTGTGGCATTCAGGCTCTGCTACATAAGGACTTACTACTCACATGGGAAAGCTTAGAAAACTGGGGAGGTGGGAGTTAGAACATCACTGCACCAGTCAGAGCTGGTTCAGGTCCCACATTTCAGCACTTCCTCCATCTTGGACTCTTTCTTTTACTAGGCCATACAGCACATTTGTTCCTTGAATATTCCTTCCCTACGTACCTGGTCTCTCACACTGTCCTCACCTAGGATGTTCCTCTTGGGTTCCTCACTTGTGTCACAGTTTTGTCCTCATTCTCAGCCTTCACCTTACAGGAGTAGCTCTAGATCTGCATACTCATTTCCAATGAAATTATTTAAATTCCAATTAAACAGGGAGAGCCTAGCGGTACCTCAAGCTCCTCAGGTTCAAACCATGCCCCACCCTCGCATTTTATTATCTAAGACAAAATCTGTGTGGTTCTTCCATTCATCCAAGCCAGAAACTGGCATGGCATGTGAAATCACTCCTTCTCAAGGATGAACCCCCATAATCTTTCCACAGCCGAGTCATGGCAAGCATGCTTTTGACATGTCTCTCAGTTATGTTTCATTTCATTCTAACTACCTATTTCTCTGTTCAAGTTCATTTGTTCCCTGAATCACTATATTGGTCCCTCTCTAACCCATTCTCCACTAGGTAGCCAGGATGAGCTTTTAAAAAGTTAAACCATTTTGAAAATAGGTAATGGAGATGGTTGCCCAACATTATGAATGTAATTAATGTTGCTGAATTTTGCAATTAAAAAGTGGTTAAGTGGAAAATTTATGATATATATAATATATATATTACCACAATTAAAAAAACTTTATAAAAAAATCAAGATACTGAAAATTAATCTATGTTAAAGGCAACCTATATTAATGTAATAATAAGATAGCCTGAACTTAATTACAAAAAACAAACACACAAAAAACCAAATCAGGAAAAAAAGAAGTAAACCAGATTATGTAAGTGCCAGTGCCAGGCTTAAATATTCTTTAATGCTTTACTGGGAGGGAAAAAAAAAAAATGCTCGCTCCCTTCCATGGTCTGTGAAGGTCCTGTGTGGCTTGCTCTGGGACCTCTGGTACTGAATCTCCCTCCACTCTCTCCACCTGTTCCTCACTGAGCCAAGCTGCTTCCCATTTATCCTCCCATAACCTACATCCTCTCCCACTCTGGCCCCTTGCCCAGGCTGTCCTTTCCATCTGAGACGTTCTTCCACAGATCCCCAGGGACCTGCCTCCTCAGTCCTTAAATCCTAGTCCCAGTTTCTTCTTCCCTGGTCACCTTGTCTAAGGAGCCTCCTGGGTTACTCCATCCCATCACCCTTCCATTTCCTTCCTAGCAGGCATCACTATTTGTGATCATGACAATTGTTATTTGTTGGGTTATTAATGCTCTGTCTTTCTTGCTAAAAATTAAATTCCATGAGGAGTAGTTACTGTTTAGCTCAACATTATATCTGAAGTGCCTGTAGATAGCCAGTAAATGTTTAAGAAATGAGAGAATAAATGAAATGAATGAATATGTGAATAAGGATGAATGAATGCATAGAATCTCTGTTTATTACAGGTATCTTCTTTCTCTCATTATGCCACCACCTTTTTTTAAAGTGAAAATTTGATCATAATTCTCTTCTTAAAATCTTCCGAAAGCCTTTCATTGTCCACATGAAAATGACAAACTCAGGTATCTCCAGGAGCCATTTAGGGAAGTTGAATGAGCGAAGCAGGTCAAGGGGCAGCAAGGACTGTGAGAAACCAGACCACCTGGAACGCTCAGCCAGTTGGACTGTGTGGAGCAGAGGACCGGTGTTGCCCAATTATCTGTATTTCTCTAAATGTGTTGAACACTGGAATTTTTATGTGAACCCTTTCTTTAATATTGGGAAATAATTTTTCTCACATTTTGGGGGGCTCATACAGTAAAAATAAAATAAAATATTTCTGCAGGCTCCATTCAGTGGCAGACTGCCAATCTGTAGCCTCTGATTGCGGCAACTCTTTGCCCATGTCTTTATATTTTTACAGCCTCTTCTGCTATGCACCCTGCCTGTACTCTCCTACCTCAGTCCTTTTAATCCCTTCACAGCTTGCAAAATGCAGCTAGCACCATGAGAAAACTTCCAAACTTCTTTGGGTCTTTTCTCCTCAGAAATGAGCTCCTTGTCCTTCCCTCTCTTTAGCTTTTATCCAGCCACTCCATCACTTTATGTCACGGACCACCGTATGCCAGGGATTGAATTCTCTTTGGGGATAGTTTAGCTTGGAGGAAAGAGTAGAGTCTTCAGAATTTAATCACTTAAGCCATTTGAAAAAGTTGATTTCCTCTTGAGTCTCAGTGTCCTCATCCTCACTTTGGTGATAAACCTTAAGAGAATGTACATGCAGTGCCTGGCACACATTAGGTATAGTAAAAAAAAAAAAAGTGGTTATTCATTACCCACGTCTGGTGCAATTTCTGGCATGTAGTAGGCAGTTAATGAGCGTCCGTTGAACAGATGAGTGAATAGCTATCCTGAGCTCTGGTTCCTGGGTTACTGACCCTTGAAGCCTCCTCTTTCCATGTTGGCATGCTCTCCTGCTCTGTGATTTGCTCCCTCTCTGGGGATTACTAAGATTCTTATAGTGCCAATCACAGCATCTTGAAACTTCAGTGCCAGTATCTTTCATGGTCACAGATACATCCCTTTTGGAAGCCAGGTCATTTGGATCTAACCATTGAGTTTCATGTACAGTGATTTATTACAACACAAGTGCCATCTTGCTACCATGACTGCGATCATATATTAATATACTGTGCATAACACATGAATTGTACAACTGTCTATGTTTTGAAGACCTATCTGCTGTCCTCACGGACCAGGGGCACATGAACATATCAGGCCCAGTCACAGCCTGTCCTGGCTTCTTCAGTTTTATTTTCTGCTTCCTCTGCTTCCTCTGTACTGGGCTTTTCTGCTCTAGGATCAGTCTGCTTTTTCACCTTTAGCTCTTGCACCCCAACATGTACCCCCACCTTTTTTTTACGGAGTAATGGGCAGTCTCTTGAAGGCATCATTCTTGTCCTTACCTCTGTTTCCTTACAAATGGTGTCAATTTTGACTTTAGTTCCTTTATATTTTTCCCTCATAGGTAATTCCTGCTCCTCCTTTAATGCTCCATTGAATTTTCAATTTTATGTAGATTCCATTTGTTTTTCTTCTTCATCAGCATCCTAAGTTATGATCCTTACTTCCACAGTATTGGAACTCTTGATCAATCCTCTGTTCAAAACCTGCAATAGTCCCCCATTTCAAATTTGCTGAAACCTGATACCCTACTCCCTGGCCTCACATTTCCTCCCTGTCATTTTCCCTTTTACCCTCTGTTGTGTTCATACAACTTTAGCCAGACTGGCCTCCTTACTTTTTCTCTAAAATATCAGCCATTTGTCCTTGCTTTTTCCTCAACCTATAAAACTCTCCTGTCAGTATCCAGTTGGCTAATAATGTTTTCAATTCCTTCAAGTCCTTGCTCAAATATCACTTTCTAACTGAGGCCCGTCATGACCTCCTGACTGACATCTAGCTTCCCTGATCCCTTTATTTGGTTCTATTTTTTTCCATAACACTTTTAACATACCATAAAATTAATAATTTTTATGGTTATTGCTATTGTCTCCCACTTATAAAATACAAATACCACAAAAGCAGATATATGTTCATGTTTTGTTCAATGATGTATCCTAATGGTTCAGAACAGTGCTTAATCATGATATTTTTAATGAATTATTTAAGACTGATTTATGAAATCCTTGAGGTTCAGAGGGACATTTTATTCATTTTTATGCCTAGCATCTTACAGATAGGTAAAACATAGTCCAGACTCTATTAATAACTCTTGTATAACTAAGAGAAAAACAAATTATCTTGAGAATCGGGAGAAATATTAAAAATGTTGATAAATAAGAAGTGGGGGAAGAAAACCTCATTATGACTAATAGGAAAACAACAGATTGATCTATTTTAAACAAACTGGGGCCAAAAATGGAGAAATATTTT